TTATGCTAAGTGAAATAACCAGTCAATGAAAGAAAAATACACATGGTCTCACTCATTTATGGATAATTAAGACCATTATAAACTGATGAGCAAAAATAGATACAGGGGCAGAGCAACATCGAACAGACTGTCAAACTACAGCGGGAAGGCCAGGGAGAATTGCGGGGGTGGGTAAGCGATCAACCGAGGGACTTGTATGCATGCACATGAGCATAACCAATGGACACAAGACACTGGGGGGTATGGGAGGCTAGGGGAGGGTCAAGGGGAGAAAAAAAAAGGAGACATATATAATACTCTTTGTAATACTATAAGCAATAAAACAATTTAAAAAAAAGAAAACAGTATGGTATTTCCTCAAAAAATTAAAAATGAACTGCCATTTGACCCAATAATACCACTTTTAGGAATATATCCCAAGAAAACAGAAACACCAATCAGAAAGGATATATGCACCCCTGTGTTCATAGCAGCACAATTTACAATAGCTAAGATTTGGAAACAGCCTAAATGCCCATCAGCCGATGAGTGGATTAGAAAACTGTGGTACATCTACACAATGGAATACTACACTGCTATAAAAAAAGAAGGAATTCTTACCATTTGCATGGATGGAATTGGAGAGCATTACACTAAGTGAAATAAGCCAGTCAGTGAAAGAAAAATACCACATGAATCTCACTCATTTATGGATAATAAAGAACATTATAACCTGATGAACAAAAAGATAGATACAGAGGCAGAAAAGCATCGAACAGACTGTCAAACGACAGGGGGAAGGCTGGGAAGGGGTGGAGGATGCGGGGGTAAGAGATCAACCGAAGGACTTTTATGCATGCATATAAGCATAACCAATGGACGCAAGACACTGGGAGTGGGGTGAGGGCATGTGCCAGGGAGTAGGGGAAGCTGGGGGAAGGTCAATTGGGGGGAAAAAAGGAGACATATGTACTATTTGTAATACTTTAAACAATAAAAAAGGAAAAAAATGATATTTGGAAAATCATGGTTTTTTATAACTACAGTTGATGGTGCAGGACATAAGTCTTAATAATTCATTATGAGAGTAAAGATACTGGAGTTCATTTACGGGGGGAGGGGGGAGAGGGAGAGAGGGAGAGAGGGAAAGAGGGAGAGAGGGGGATAGGAAGAGGGAGAGAGAGAGGGAGAGGGAGAAGGAGAGAGAGAGAGAGAGAGAGAGAGAGAGAGAGAGAGAGAAAGAGAGAAAGAGAGAACATAGCCCGATTGGAATCCCAGTTACACACTTAACTTCCTTCACCACCCTGGGAGAAGTCCCTTAAATTCTGAGTCCCCATTGCTTCTCAGGTGAGAGGTAATCAAACTAACTACAGCCAGGGGTTTTATAATGATCAAATATAATATGGATGTTACAGTGGTTTTTAAATGGAAAAATGTATGCAAAAAACAATGTACAGCATGAAGAGACCTTATATTGGACTGGCACAGGGTAAAGAGTAAAGCCAGAAAAGATACATTGGAGGGAATTACAACAAACTTATAAACTGTCAGACAAGGAATGGCAGTAGGAGTCTTTATGCTGTAGAAACACGTAAAATAGAAAGAAATGGAAACATTACAGATTCAAAAGATCCTACTCAAATTGCATCAGGATCTACCTATATACTGCAGCAGGTCTACCTCATAGAAAAATAGGCTGCCAGGTATTATACAGATGTTTGGATTCCTACAAAGGTAGTAGTAATGACCATGGTGTGCACTTGTTCTCATTGGATAGTAAAATCTAATTCCTCTGCAGCATGGTAGACATGACAGTATTCTGAGATTTATTATGATAATTCTCATTAAAACTTTGCCTCATAGTTGGACCCTAAAATCATTCAAAGATTGGCTCTGAAAAATAAGAAGTTATTCAAAACTAGCTTTAAGGTAAAACTATTTGAATAGATTATTACTGTTTAAAGAAGGGAAATTAGCATTTACTAATTGTCTTCTACATATGGGAGTTACGATGAGAGAGTCACTTCACATATATAATCTCACTAAATCCTCAAAACACAAAAAGATGGGTATGTATATATAACTGTATGTCCATTTGTAGGGAAGAAAAAGACTCAGCGGTTAAATAACTCGCCTATATGACATGGACAGCCAAACCAAAATCTATCCAGTACTAAATATTCTGCTTTCCCATGTAACACTAGTTGCTTGAGCTTATTTAATAGGATAATTCTTAAAAGAAATTAAATCACCATCCAATAGATAACACTAGGTTCTCTGTTAAAAGCAATTTTCTCATTATAGTTTCCCTTGGGATCATTTATACAATTCCATAATATGTATGATAAGTAATACAGCACAACTGGCATTACAGTCCTTACCAATTCTCTCTTCCTATAATTCTAGTTATATAAGTTCTTCTTTAAAATATATTTTTATTGATTTCAGAGAGGAAGGGAGAAGGAGAAAGAGAAAGAAACATCAATGATGAGAGAGAATCATTGATTGGCTGCCTCCTGCATGCCCCCTACTGGGGATCAAACCTGAAACCCAGGCATGTTCCCTTGACCGGAATCAAACCCAGGACCTTCAGTCCGCAGGCTGACGCTCTATCCACTGAGCCAAACCAGATAGGACTATATAAGTTCTAATAACAGAGAGAAAAACAAAGTTTAGATAGCCCCAAAATATACTATGAGGAGGAGCTAAGAGGAAAGGACAAAAGATCTTCAGACTGACTGATTGCTTTCATTAATTTTACTTATGAAAAAAACCAACAACAGAAAATATAATTAAAGTTCAAACTATAATAGACTTGAAAACAAGAAGCAGGATGGTGGTGATGAAAGTAATCTTAAGGGTGTAGGAGAATATGGCTGTAAACATCCTTCCAAAAGGAAAAAATGGATAATGATGATTCCAATGGTGGCAGCAGTGGTGGAAACATTTACTGTGCACTTACTAAGGATTAAGCACTCTGTCAAGCTGTTTAGATGCACTAATTTAATACTCACAAAAGATAAAGACCATTATTAACTCCTTAAATAAATTATAGAAACAAAAGAATTAAGTGACCTGCTCAGGTTCTCAAAACTAGTAAGTGGTTGAGCCAGTATTCAAGTTAGGTCTGTTTACTTTGGAGCGCAAATTCATAAGCATTATTTAGACTATCTAAAGAATAGCAGATCTGTTCACAATTTTATTATAATCTCTGCACAGAAAATCAAGTCTTATATTGGCCATGAGTTTCTAGGTCTCTTACCTACTTCCCAATGGTATAATAAGTGAAAAACAGAAGCCTCTCAACAGTAGAAAAACAGCATAAAATTTTTCTATTAAAATTTATCAGAATCTATACATTTAAATGTCTAAAATTTACTTTCCAAAATGTTAAATTGCTTGACTTATTAGAAAATGCTAACACAAACTTTGAAGGGAAAAATTAATGTCCATAATTACTGATCTTTTTCAACTCTGAAATAAGCTTGTTTTGTAATTAGTAGAGTTTCTTATCACATGCAGTAAGAATTAAAATGCTGGTTATTTAAAGCAAGGACTAAGATACTTTATGTTTCCAAAAGGATCTGTTAATAAATTAGTTCACTATGTAAGTAATTGACATAGATGAGTGTGTGTGTTTTCAGCCTATTACATTGACCTAATTGCAAACTGAAGGGAAGGAAAAAGATTATTTTGTGTCTTTTATATGATTATAAACTTGTCCTCATAAAATATAACAAATAAAGGTAAACTTACCTTATCATTTTATATGCTACTAGAGGCCCAGCGCACGAAATCATGTGGGTAGGGTCCCTAGGCCTAACCTCCTGCAATCTGGGCTATCTTCTGCCCATTCACCAATCCCCAGGCTGAATGCCGCCTCCGCCGCCGCCGGGGCTGTCAGGGCTGTTAGGATCACCAGCTCAACCCTGGCTACTCAGCTGCTCGGGGGCTCAGGCCTGTGGGAAAGTGTGTGCCGGAGAATTCACCTCCCATGTGTGTGCTGGGTCACCGCTGATGGAATGCGCTGCCCACTCAGAGCCGCTCATGTGGGAGCCGCCGCCGCTATTGCTGCTGGGGCTGGGGCTTGAGGCACTGACGGAAGCTGTGGGGCGCGCCCGCGACCTACCTGCCCCGGCGTGAGGGGCCTCAAGCAGGCAGCGCAATCCATCAGCAGCCAGCCCGGCGCACGCGCATCGAGGTGAAGTCGCCGGCAGTTGCTTTCCCAGAGGCCTGAGCCCCCAAGCAGCCGGGGATGAGCTGGTGATCCCAACAACCTGACAGTCAACCTAGTCCTCCCGCCACCCAACCCAATTCCCCCGTTCACCATTGCTGAATCATCGGAGCCTGCGGGCAGGAGAAGGGACCAAGAGGTGCTCAATGCACCTCATGATAACCGGTCATTTGGTCATCTTGGTCATCACAGACACTGGCTTTTTATATATATAGATATGCCCTTAAATCACTCAATTTACCAGGTGTACCAGTTAATAATGGTGGATTTTGTAATCAAAGAAAACACGATAATTTCAAGAGAAACATCAAAAGTGCTTTATTCAAAGTAATGTCCATCACTAGCTACACATTTCCCCATCTTTCAGGTAATTTGTGGATACCATCCCAATAGAACTTTTCTTGTTTTGAGGCAAACCATTCAGAGATCCAATTTTCCACTTCTTTGTACGTTTTGAAGTGCTGCTCAGAAAATGCATGTGCCATCGATTTTAACAAGTGGTAATCTGAAGGAGCAAGGTCTGTTGAATACAGCGGGTGGGTTAATACTTTCCAGGCAAGATCTTTTAACGTGTCTTTGACTGGTTTTAAAGTGTGTGACCGTGCGTCATCATGAAGCAAAATTACTTTGCCGTGTCTTCTGGCCCATTCTGGTCATTTTACGATCAAAGCGTGGTTCAAATTTATTATTTGTTGTCGGTAGTGATCAGTATTAACAGATTCACCTGGTTTTAAAAGCTCATAATACACCACACCTTCCTGATCCCACCAAACATAGAACACTGTCTTCTTTCCGAAGCGATTTGGCCTTGCAGTCGATGTTGATGGTTGACCTGGATCAACCCATGATTTTGTGCTTTTGGGATTCTCAAAATAAATCCACTTTTCATCGCCAGTCACAATTCAATGCAAAAAAGTCTTTCGTGCCGTTGAAGCAACATTTTACTGATGACTTTTCGGTTTGCCATTTGTCTTTTGTTCAGTTGATGTGGCACCCATTTTTCTTCCTTTAAAATCTTTCCCATTGCTTGTAAATGATCGGAAATTGTTTGCTGAGCAACGTTTAATCTTTCTGCAAGTTGTTATTTAGTTTGACATGCATCTTCATCCAATAATGCTTGTTAATAGTTGGTCTTCAAACTTTTTCAGTTGACCTGGACGTTCTTTGTCTTTCATATCGAAATCATCACTTTTAAAGCATTTAAACCAGCGTTCACAAGTATCTTGAGATGGAGCATGTTCACCATAAGCTTCCTGAAGTATATGATAACTTTCAGCAGCATTTTTCTTCAACATAAAGTAATGAATTAAAACTTCCCGCAAATGCTCTTTTTTTGGCACAAAATTCAACATTTTTATATGTAAAAATATCTATGATGTTAACACCTTCAGAAAATTTGACATATGAAGTTTTGAAGCTTGCTGTCAATATAACAAAATAGCATACATATCAAATCACATATATATCAACATATGTGCAATTCCATCTATTGAAAAAAGTCCACATTATTAACCGGTACACCTGGTAAAACATGAATATAAAGCATAAAATATAAATATAGCCTCCCTTGCTATTTTTGAGAAAAAATTTTTGAGAAAAAAAATGTCAAGGAGAAATCCTCTGTAGTTCATAAGGATCCACATCAATGCTGAAATCAGGAATGCAATCAATTTATTATTTGTCAAATTAAATACTAAATATAACTAATTATTAGCAGAAAAATATCTTAAAAAAGTAAATTAAATGATTTCTAATCAACAAACCATATATATCAATGGAAAGAAATTTAACATTAAGTCTTCTTTCCTAGATTGTTTGTATGTCAGCTGATTTTCTTTCTAAGTCATGAAATAGATGCACATGAGCAAGATAAGGGTCCCTTAAGAGGAACATACAGTATTTAGGTACTTGTACTGACCGGCTCAGAATCACAGCAATAATCATCCCAGCTCTGTCTGAGGGGTTTCTTTGTTATCTGAAAGTAAGGCAGATTAGTTAGGTAGAAATAATAGTTATTACACTTTTCTAATAATCTCATAGTGTTCAGATGTCACTGATGCTATCCAAAAGAAGTTATTTTGTATAACAGCATAAAACAAGAAACAACCAGGTAAACATTCCAATTCTGAGGGATCATATATTATTATAACCACTAGAGGCCCGGTGCACTAGAATTTTCGTGCACTGGGAGGGGGGTTGTCCCTCAGCCTGGCCTGACCCCTTCACAGTCCAGGAGCCCTCAGGGGATATCCTACTGATGGCTTAGGCCCGCTCCCCACAGTTTGGCCTCCCTCTGCAGGAGGTGACCAGGCTGATCAGGGGAAGGCGCCGCCCCCATCACCCTGCTGCTGCTGCCACTGCCAGCCACCGCAGCTGCCGGCCCTCCTCAGCCCTCGCAGCCACTGCGGCTTTGTCCGGAAGGACATACGGAAGACATCCAGTCTATCCAGTCTAATTAGCATATTACTCTTTTATTAGTATAGATACCTACTATTGTCCAGTGACTCTGAGATTTTTATTAACTGCTGAGTCTCATATTTATGAATACTGACCTAATGACAAGAATACAGATGGCATGGCCACCGATTACAAAAAATCTGGAAGAACAGTAACTCTAAATTTCTCTAATATTAACAACTATCAGCTCATTTGTGGGCAATTACTACTTTTTAAAAAGAAATATATTTAATTACCCAAATATAATGTAAATCGTTTAAACAGGGGAGGGGGTAAAATCAGAAGCCCCATCAATGTTTTTTTGTAAAAAATACTACTTAAGTCTATATATGACAAGTGCCTAGTATTAATCAGGAAGTGATATTTTTAATAATTTCATAGTTCTCAATATATCAATTCGAAGTTATTTCAATGTCGCTTCAAAATTAAGAAATACCCGTTATACAGCAGGCTTTTTCTTCAGAAAAGTCTAAGATGTTTCTTTCACAACCCTAAATACATACTACAATCTTTCAGCCATTATCGAAGTGTCAATTTGCTTACAAAAACTTCATAAGGATTTTTTAATTACCATAAAGGAATGTCTTTCCATAGATATTTTTGCCTCAAAAAATTAAAATAATAAGAAGAGGACATTGATGTACTATCATACCAATTCTATTAATGTTGGTCCTAGAATTTTTGCTAATATGAGAAATAATAAACTTAGTGAAATCAATGTAATGAAAAGTTGTGATAATTAGTATTTATTATGGAAGTTTGGGAGTATGATGAGAGTTTCGGGGAAGATAGAAATTTTCTAAGTCACTCCTTTGATAGTTTGCATATTGAGTGTTTAACAGGATCATTC